AAAAAAAAATTATTTGCGCCAAATCCGAAGCGTTTGAACTAAACCAAAATTGAATTGTGTGAAATCGATTTTGTCGCAAAAACAAGTATTTTCTAAATTTGATAGAATAAACAAAATATACTATACTATAACAAAATCGATTTCATACAATCCAATTTTGGTTTAGTTCAAATCGATATTTGTGTCTTACAATAGCATTTTCTTTTGCGACTATTCAATCGATGAACGATTTGGATCAATCATAGAATTTCTATTTCTTAGAAATTTTTTTTCTCAGTGTACGTGGATCCTGCGTGGATGAAGAATTCGAACATTTTCTAAAGGATTTTTCTGCTGGGATTTCCTATAGGATTTCCTATACATTCACTATAGGGTTTTCTATACAAAGTAACATACAAAATTGAGATTCGAAACCAATCGGTCACAAGGGTCAAGATTAGGGTCATAAATCTGATAGAAAATTCTATAGGAAATCCTATTTAAAAAATCCTATAGGAAATGTTCGAATTCCTGTAGGATATCCTATAGTAAATCCTATAGCATTTTTTCATACGTGCATACATACCAGACATCAAAATTTACTGTTTAACAGAGTAATTTTGAGGACAAATGAAAAATTTCGACGGGGCGGATGAAAAAATACTGGTGACGCCACTAGAATATGATGAAGCCCATAAGAAAAATTACTGTGGAACATAGTAAAAACTACGAGTCGGTATAGTAGAAGGTGATAGCTCAAAAAGTAAAATTTCCTTGGTCATTAGTAAAATTTATGAGCATAAATATGATTTTTTACTTGAGTGATGAAAAAAATTATCCCCCCTCCCCCTCTTCGGAAACGAATATTCATAGAAGAAGGGAACAAGGGCCGTGATTTTTTCAAGCACCGAAGTGAAAAACCATCTCTATTCATTTGTTATTAACTTTGGAGATTATTGTTAAGAGGCCTCGGAAGCGAAAAATAATACTGGAATATGGGGAAACGATTGCTGATCAATTATTTTTAAGACATCATAATTTTCGTCGAAGTAAACACAATGTGACTTGCGCGTAATCACAACGAAAATATTCTCAATCCGGGTCAGTCACTCACCACCCGGTCGATTACGACAGAGGGAGGGAGGGGATTCCAAGAAATGGAAACGATCGACGATCCAAATACCCGCTGCAGTTTGTACTAGTCAACATAGTAATTTCTGCTATTTCATAAAGTGAAATGTAGGAGGTGCAAGAGTATGAATTTAAATTTTGAACCGTAAAAGCAAATTACGATGTAACATAATAAAAATTTATACGATTTTAGTAATTTTTCGTCGATTCAATTGTAAAAATTGATTTTTTTTAATTTTTTAAAACATTCTTAAATAGCCGTTTTCGTGCTCGCATTTTATACTGTTTCGTTTATTCTAAATTACTATGTTATACAATAGTAAAAAATAAATTTCACATCGCAATAATTCACTTAAAATAAATGAAATTTTAAGGTTTTTCCAGTATGGTCCTCGATTACTATGTTAACATGGTAATTTTTCATTTTATATTCTTTCTGTGTGCTGTAATTGTTTACTTTGTCAATAAAATGGAGTTTGTTAAAATATGTTCATTCAGCTAGAGCTATTTATTTCATAGCGAACATTCGCAATTTACAAGCCAAAGCACACGTTGAAGTGACTTCCCTGAATCACGGGCTTCCTATCAGGCGACAACCTTCACGCGCTAATGTAATATATAATACTGTGTTGAGGCATGCAACTCGTCTCTACAGTGAGGGCTCACTATCTATCGCACGGTTCTTATCCTGTGCAAACCATTATTTATTGGCTTTCAATAATGAGCTGACGATCGGAACCACCGAGCAAGTCGAGCAATTCATCACCAATCCAGCTCATAACATTGGTAATATGGAATAAATTATTTTCGCTAAGCGGAAACTTATCGCATGCTATAATGTAGACGATAAAATCATCTTCAATATCTTATAACTTGCAGCTATACATCCAGAACCAAGAGGAATTGAGCAAATAATTTTGGAAAACAATGAACAGAATGATCCAGATGCTGTATGGATTCCAATAATAAGAACTCATGCACGTGAAGAAGAAATCTCCATCTTCATTTGTAAGTGGCAAATTGTTCAATGATTTGGTTGACAACATATTCAGCCAAGAATTACTCATTGACATTGAAATTTGCAGTAGAGGATCTAGAACAGTCTAGATGTGGTCGATGTGGCAATTCAATCTTGAATTATATTTCCTTACCCTGCGAATATTGGTTCGCATGCCAAAATTGCACTCAATACGCTGTTAACCAGACTGACCGAGCTGGATTATTTTGTCCTGTTTGCGGAACGCAATGCGTCACATTCCAAATAATGTATATTTCATAACAGGATTGCTGAATAACTGTAAGTATCAATTATTCACTTTTCAAAACAAATATTTAAATCAATTTTTTGTTATTTATAGCCTAAATCATCAAATCCATTCTTTTAACCACGGAGATTCTGCGGGATGAGGTCTACAGACTAAAAATACATTAGATTCATCTCGGACTTTCTCTTGGAAAAACTGAAAATTGAATGACACGATCTTCTCGATGGGTAGACGTAAGGGGGTCACCGGCAAACCGTCTACTATTGCAGTATTCCATTGCTATGGAAATCGTTTTATCTCTAATGGGACCCACTGACCACCGAGTTTCAGGATGATAAACTCTGTGTCATCAGTTTCCTATGCCCAAAAATTAGATTGGGTGCATATAGACACCTTATCTCATTGTTGGGAACTAGTTTCACATAAATTCACGGGTTTTATTTCATTCCTTTATTTTTGTTTAAAAATTGTTCAATAAGAGAAGAAAGAAAGACCTTAAAAACTGGACAAAATTAATACAGAGGCATTCCTTCTGAAAATATAAAACTAAAAATCTGTTAATGTTTTTCATTCAATATTTTTTAATGTTTTCTCATTCAATTAAATGGGCCAAGCTACCATATTCAAGATTATTTACGAACTACAGTGCTATCGTTTTTTGTTAGTAAATATTGGGACTCCTATGAGTCATGTGTTATTTAGTTTTGTTTCCCTAGTGATCATATGAGAAAGAAAAGAAAATGTGTGAAATGGCGCTCCTTTGATTTGCGTAAAGATTAAAATTTAATTTATTGGAGAAGCGAATTTCAAATATTTGTATGAAAATGTAATAATAATAAAGTTGAAAGATGTTTGTGACCATGAAGAACTTATGATTTTTAATTAATTTATTTCTTACGTTTCAGTTCTATAGTTAAACATGGCTGCCTGTACAACCATACATTCAATCTGTTCTATCTGCTCTTTTTTGGGGTCTATATTTCAACCTGCTGTGAATGATTCAGATATCCATCCAAATGTTTGTATGAAATTTCAACTTTTATACATATGTCAAAATTATCAATACATGAGTAACACACATCTAATTTCGTCCCATGAAAACGAAACAAACACGGTTTCCAATTCGCATATTGTCTGCAGCCGAAGCATTACTGTATTGATTGGACGTGCAAAATAGATGATGGGAATATTGATACCTCATTTGATTTTACTATTTAATGTGAAACAGAATCAAGACATCTACTAATGTGTATTTTCCCTGTCTTCACACATCGTCAGTTTACTTCATCAATATAGCAACGATTAACGATTAATAATAGTTTATTATCTCATATCCCATTCGCAAATTACTCATTACACAAATCGCATTATCGAATGCATATTCAGAATAAATGGGGAAACCTTATCCCCTATTTCTTTCGTCATTAGCTCTTTCTTTTCATCATAGATAGTAAAAAATTACTTTGGTTCAAAAAAAAGAACGATGGAAAATCAGGAAATTCAATCATATTTTGTTTTTCAGTGTGAAGATTCCCCATGATATTAACGATTCTATCCACTCTTGTACATGTCTCGAAAATAGTTATGATGAAACTATTCGAACGATGTATAAATGTTGGTGAATAAGTTAATAATTAATTAATTTAATTAATTAATAAAAAGCCATATAAGCAGCAACAGAATGAAATTTTTGAAGGTACAAAATGTAAATGTACGAAAAATAGCCGGTGTGTAACACCGTAGCCGGTAGTAACACGCGTCATGTGTGGTAAACGACAAAATGACCGTTCATTTTCAGTCATTTTTTCCGCCTACCCCGAAAATGACCAATCATTTTGTCGCCTACTACGCACAACACGTGTTACACCCATCGGCTATTTTTTGCTTCCGCTATTTTTTCCGCCTACCACAAAATCACACCAATAATTGACGAAAACACCCATATGATTATTTCATTTATTCTTCAATTGTCTACTCAGGAACATATTCTTTCATCATTTTCAATCGTATCGTTAGTTACCGGGATCTCTTGGAAGTACTAACAAACAAGGATTGGAGCCTTTTTGGTAGAAGCCATCGCTCATCGCTTCTTTATGTGTTATAAATCTTTTTCTTCTTTTAATTTCTACCAATTCCATTGGTAGTAAGCTTCTGTATGGATCTGTATCAATTATATTTTAAAAAAATGGAAACACCACCCCGCTTACATTAGATATCAACAATGTCACCAAAAAAAATACCTGCTGATTCGAAAACAATATCTTTTTCGTCCCGGCGGGCGCAAACTACACATTTCCGCATGTTATTCTTAACTAACAAGTTTGTGTAAGAAAATCTTCAAGAGAGTATATAGCTATTCTACACATTTAAATTATTCTTCATGTGATACTCTGCTTAAAAATGAAGTTTTGATCAAGCCAAACATAGAAGCAATATTTCACAATGTCACTGAAAAATATTGCTCGATGATTCAAAAACATATTACTTCGCACCCTGTGCCTGCAACGGGCACCCATGATCTACAGGGTGTTTAAAAGGAGATATTTAATTTTTCGCTAAAATGGATTTATACAAAAAATTGAATATCTCCAAAACCACTCGACCGATTGCGCCAGTGCAAAATATGAACCTTTAATCTCATGAGAGGTATAATCATAATACCAAATTTCAACTTGCTATCCCCATTTTTCATAAAGTTATGGGGTGTACAAGCTTAAAAAAAACAGAAAAATTGGAATATCTCTTAATCTTTGTATGGACAGGTAGACATATTTTGATTGATTAGTTAGCGGCTACCGAGACAAGTATGAAAAAAAAATTGATATCCGTCCAGTAGTTCATGAGATATTTGAATAATAGTATATTTCGTTACGAGAGCGGAAAAGAGTTTTTTGGCTCGTGGGATTATATCACTCACCTTCGGCTCGTACTATAAACCTCCCACGAGCCAAAAAACACTTTTACCACGAGTATCAAACGATATTTTTCATCACGCTGTGACGAAAAGTGAACTTTTCGGCACGCTCCGCGTGCCTAAAAGTCCAATTTCCGCCACATTGTGATGAAAAATATTGTTCGTAACTCGTGAAAAAATGTTTTTTAGCTCGTGGGATTATATCACTCGCCTTCGGCTCGTGATATAAACCTCCCACTCGCCAAAAAACACTTTTTTGCACTCGTTACGAAATATACTATTTCATCACAATGTGTGGCAAAGCGAAGCGCGAAGCGTGCCTAAAAAGTTACTTTTTCGCACAGCGTGATGAAAATATGTTTACATAAAAGGTTGAATATCTCAAGAACCGCTCGTCCAATTGCGCCCATCGACAATACCGATATTTTATGTTATAAAAGCTAGAAGCATACCAAATTTCAACTCGGAAGCGTGATTGCAAGTCCCATAAGCCCCGAAAAGCGATCAGATACTTGCGTCCACAAAAAATTTATCAGGAAGTATTTCTAAACATCTTAGAAACTTTTCGAAAATTTAATTTTATAAACTTTCAATTTTTTATAAAGATTTTATTTTTACATTTTTCGGGGAGTGTTCATTAATACTTCCACTTGTTTATTCATCCTAGGCTGGTCACCATGCGAGGAAATTGCCGCAACACGTCGTTTTATTCACCTTGCCATCGATTGGTTGACCGGAAAAATTTGAGAATAGTATATTTCGTAACGAGTGCAAAAAAGTGTTTTTTGGCGAGTGGGAGGTTTATATAATCCCACGAGCTAAAAAACATTTTTTCACGAGTTACGAACAATATTTTTCATCACAATGTGGCGGAAATTGGACTTTTAGGCACGCGGAGCGTGCTGAAATAGTTATTTTCATCACAAGGTCCACAAAGTATTTTCTGACGAATGTGGCTTTGTAGGCCGAGCCGAAGGCGAGGCCTATAATCACATTCATCAGAAAATACTTTTGGACCGTGTGATGAATGCAATTTTTCGTCAGAAGGCCCGTAAACCGCGATCAAACCGAGCGAAGCGAGGTTAGAATCGCGGTTTACCAGGTCTTCTCACGAAAAGTTCACTTTTCGTCACAGCGTGATGAAAAAATTGAATTCGTCAATTGAAGTATCTCAAAAATTCTAGTATTTTTTTTTCAATGTTGTATCCTTAATTCTGGGAGAAAAAAAATTATTGTCAACAGGTGAACAATTTTTTGCTGTGTTAAATGAAATTGCCTGTTGCGCGACGTTGCTGAGAACTCGCTAAACGCGCCCGGGAAGTGTAAGTGGATTCGGTAACGCTGGAGCCTAAATAACACGGCGGCACTCTCCCGCGAAGGTGACTAAAGTCGCATTTTCCCGTCAGGTGACCAGACTAGGATAAACCCCTCAAGTACAACGTCCATGCCATATATAGACCTGAGAGCTTGTCCTACCGGCTGGCGTCTATATGTCATATAGAACCTTTCCGTGATTAATATAAATTCATCATCTTTCGTACTATTGTAAATATCAGAATTATAAAAAAATTTCCATGAAATACATAAAGTTATTAGCATAATGCGACTCAATTTTTTTTCCAAGTTATTTTTAATATTTTTCTTCAATACATAAACAATACGGAACTGAATTCGATGCCAAATGCATATTGAAACCTCTCGTTCATCGAGCTAATTTTCATAAAAAATTCTGCAATTTTTATCGAACATACTCTATACATTCCGTTGTCGAATGGCGCAAACGAAATTTCGATTGATTGCATTACTGATTTGTTATTAACAAATTTTCGACAATCGCTGATATTGACAACCGTTAGTACTATCGAACTGAGATTGGTCTTAAAAATGTCCGAATGATCTGTAAAAAGGAATCCCGTAATTGAAAAACTTATTGGTGAAAGGTCAAGATTATCATTAAATTTTAGATGATATTTTTTTGATCGTCAGTGTAGAAAGTGTTGCGTATTGAACAGCGAATTCGAGTAGATGGGAGGCCACCGGCCGATGAGGGCACACCACGTGATATGGGCGCCGTACTTGAGTGGTTAACATATTGTTTTACTCATAAAAAATCTAGCAGGTATCTAACACGAAGAATGTAGCGGAATTCTACTGCGGGCTGTGAAATCCCGCGAGAAGTTGACAGCAACATTTAAATATCATGCATTCTCAAGTTGACACAAATTAGGTGACTCATTGGACATTCTTTGGAGATGACAAGTAGGATTTGCCAATTAATAAACTAATTGACAACCCTGAGTATGTTATGTCAATGTCTGTTTAACATAATCATGGATGCCCACCTGTGATCCATACTCGGTATGTAAAGTGTAACTAATCCGTCAGTAGGCACGCTATGAGCATTTCCCTCACACAATATGCCAGTCAACCTATAGGACGTGCCTGCAGTGCGGGTCAGATACTTAAAAGAGCGCGCCTATTGACGGCCTAATGACATTCAACGCAGAGTTATTCTCTGAGTGGTTCGAATGGCTCAGCTATCTCTCCTTTGCAGAATATTATTATCACATTTAGGCCTGACAGCGGTCTTTTTCAGAAATCAAGAAATTGTTCATTGTAGGTACTTGGCTGCAGAGAGCATTGAGTCCGTATTGCTGAAAGTTGACAATTTTGTGTCAGTTTTGTTAACCCTCCTGAACTGGCTAGATCTCTTACGTCTCACTTGCACTGCAGTGGCGCCCTATAGGTTGAGTAGTTGGCAGCGGTGATTTCGAAAAATCGAAAAAAAAATACTGTGCATGGAGAATGTACTAGCTTTCCTGCAAGTGCACCCATCGATGCAGTAAAACCCTATGGATGGTATCACTTATGTATAAAAAT